TCAGGGGGATACACAAATATATACCCACCTCTTTTATTTTCAGCCCTATAAGGAGGAAAACACCTGCCATAGGTCAGGCTTGGGTTGAGTAAAGAAATCGATAAAACCTTTATATTTTATTAATAATGCATGCAACTTTAATTTGTGAGTGAATTTATTTATTAGCTTTATAGTTGTATGTGCACAGTGTAGTTTTCTTTAGCTTGTAATAAACAATGTCAATTATTTCTTTTATTTTAGGCAGAAATGTGGTTTCTGGTTGGGCTCTGGCCAAAAACTGCTTCTGTGGTTTGTCTTAGTTTGGGCTCACACAGAATTGTTTCAGGCTCTGGTTGGGTTCAAAGCACTGCTGCTGGCTCCACAGTTTACTGTTCATTCTTTTAGGATAATTTTTAAGAGTGCTGTGGAGGAATAAAACAATCCAACCTATAATAAACCATATAAAATGGACAGTAAGACGCTGTCTGTCTGAGGTGTTGGGATCTATTGGGAGGAGACTTACAAATACATACAAATGTATAAAAATGGAGTTCCTGCCTCCCAGTGTCTGCTCAAACAGACTCAGAAGAACACATTTAAATCCTCTGTATTAAGTGAAACTCCTGAACTCTTTGCTCATTAAGCAGGATGAGCTGCTCTGATTGGGAACTCCACTCCACCTGCCTTTGTCTGGTTTATTTCATCAGTACTGTAATCAAAGTGAGTAGGATTTGTGTGGATTTGATTATTTGATTTCACTGTTTGGCAGTTTAACAGCAACCTGTCGTTCTGCAGCTTCTGCCAGCACCCTGCACCCTCCGCCTCCGCATGCAGATTCTGGCAGACTGTCACAACTTGAATTTACCGATGACCTGACTTTGAACATTGCTCATGTAAACTGACGACCACAGCGAATCATTGAAGTGCAAAAAGGAAGCATTAAATATAATAGTGGATCCAAACTACATGTTAGAGACATAATAAAACATGTTCAGGTCTTTACTTGGTTATTTTACCATGAATTAGCTTGAATGAGCTTAGCTCAGCTTAGCTAAGCTCATGGCTTTTGACAAACTATTAATGTATGTATTTTAGAAATGTTGGACCTGGTTTCATTATATTATCCCTTCTTTCTCCAGGAAACTATATCCAGAGCTATGTCAAGGATGTGACCATTTCTTCCTCTCCTCACTTCCAGTATGCTGAATAAATAAAAATGATACTTATTAAATATTATTTAATAAAGTTCACCAACATAATGTGTATAACATAATTTAACATAACTTTCACTCTGGATGGATAGTTGTGCTGATATGTGTACAATAATGCAACTACTATAAAGAGACTTTGTATTCAAGCAGCAAAACTGAAAATTCTGTATAATAATAAAATTGACAGGACAGAAAATATTTAATATTTTCATATTTTTAATTTGGACTGACAGCTGTGATGGGCTGGACTCCCCCTGAGGACGGCTTCTAGTTTATACTGGATACACCTGTGTGGAATCTATGTGCAACAGCAAACGCCGATGAAAGACAGTAACAGTTAGATCCTGAAAAGATTTAAATGATCAAATAAGGTACGTCAGCTGTGCTACGTGCGTAAATGCGCAGTGCACTGGGTGACACGCATATCGCTGCTGCTGCTGTGACTACAAGTATTTAATAAAGTCAGAGGAGAGAAAACTAAAAAGCGAAATTGTAGGGCAAAAAAAACCTAACAAACAAAATAAATGATTATTTTGTAATTGTGGAGAGGTTTCTTTATGCGCTTCCTTTAAGTACTGTGTTTATGGAATAATGTTCATGAAGCGTGAGAGTGGATGAACCTGACATATAGAGTGAAAAAAACAAAATATTTCGAATA